CAGTTTCTTTAAGGTGGACATGATGATCATGATTGTAATTTTAGAGAGAATTGAGAGCAACATGCAAAAAAAAAAAGATGTCAAAGAAAATAAGAGAAGAAAAGGTATATAATTTGTTTTGATTAACAAATCTACTAATTGATACATAAGCAAAAAAAAAACTAAGAAGTATTGACTCGTCAGTGGTGGTGCGCTTCTCGCTCTGAAAGCATAATCAGAAGCGGAATTCTCGTAAAATCGCGATTCCATAAAAGAGGCATTTGGAAGAGCGATGGAATCACACAATTCGACTTTGGAAGGGTCGATGGTGTTTATTGGAAGCCTTGACACTCAACCGTGACCATAACATCTTATACAAGAAAAGATGAACAACTTAACGGTTCTATTGGCTTTTAAAAATTCATTTGTTTTGTGACCCAACATTTTATTAAAAGAAACTTAAAACCTCCTAATTAATAAAGAAACAAAAGAGACTGTTTTTCTTTAAACTATTTTCTTAATATGATTTCTATTTGATTTTCTGTGATATAAAAGAATCATATATATAATTAGGGAGTTCTCTCTCCATCTAGGATGTCCACATCATCAAAACAAAAAATATTAAATTAGTTTTCATAGTAAATGTTCATTAAATTTATGTTTATTTTATTTTTATTATTTATAATTATCAGAGTTTAAAATTAAATTAAAAACGAAATTTAAGTAAATAAATGGATAAAAATAGTAAATACAAGATTATGAAATATTTTCTTGGTACTAATAATATAGAGAGGCGAAATAAAAATAAATGTAAGGAGACACAAATGTGTATCGGAAGATACTGAAATGTTAGTAAAAATATTTTAAGAGAATTTGACTAAATTTCGGGTAAGATATATGCACAAGACTAAATTTTCTTGGTACTAATAACCTCTTCCTATGAGGTTAATAATTTATTTTGGTTATTACGTGGCATTTAACGATTCGTTGTTTTTCGAATAAAAGATTCATACTCGACAATAGTTATGTTATTTATCGTTTG